GGGGGGGGGTCCGAAATCTAAAACCTGCAGTTCTTTTCTTTTCTTTTTTATCGATAAGTGCCAACATTTTGCCAACTCGTTAGCGGCTAAGCCGCCTACACTAACATGAGTTGCCAGCAGAGTTCACCTTATCCCGGCAGGTAACCCTTTACGCTACGCATTATTATGTATGCAAATCAAGGCGTTGGCTTATCGTGGCCAACCGTAAACGAGGGGCGTGGTTATGCGGTCGCCTTATTTGGAATCAGCAGTAGCTGACTCTCAGAAACTAGGCTAGGTCTGGGACAGCCGATCGATACCTCTTCGCCATGTATGGAAGAGGGGGAAAGAGGGCTATCTATCCCCTTCCGAGCTCTTCTCCTCCTCCTCCTCGTTCTCACTGCCGCCGCAGGTTTATTGTTTTCCCAGCGTTTCTTCCCTTTTCTAAAGTTCCATGCTTTTTTTTACCTGCACGGTTTGCATGAAGGTCACTCATCCGTAAGTTCCAGAGTCGTGGCACAATATTTCCACCCACCTCGCCAGACGTCACAGGGGCTATTAATATAAATAAAACGCTCTCATCGTAAGAGACATCACTTAAAACCACCCGGCATCTGAGACGTCTGTCATTCCAACTCGCGCCCCTCCTTGTGTTGAGCTCGACGTCTACCTAACGCGACAGGGCCTTTTTCGTGTCTCATTCTCGGAGCTCACTCTAAAACTCTTGCTCTTCAGCGTTCTAAGAAAAACCACTTTTATCTTCTCCACGTAGTTCTGTTTAGGCGTTCTCCGAAATCTCATCATGTGTGACGACGATATCGCCGCTCTTGTCATCGACAATGGCTCCGGCATGTGCAAGGCAGGTTTTGCCGGGGACGACGCTCCCAGGGCCGTGTTCCCCTCCATCGTGGGCAGGCCACGTCATCAGGTAAGGAGGCTGAGATCGTGTATAGTACCGCCACAGAGACCACACCCTACCTGTTGGGACACCGTTCTGAGTCGCTTAGTATCCCAAATTGGCCTCCGACAATAATAATTATACCCTTGGCAAGCTGTGCAAATGTTCTTTTAGTAAAGAGGAAAAAAACCCAACTTTCATTCTTTTAATAATTTACTTACTATCTATATCTTCTCTTGCCTTATTCAACATTCAGAATTTGAATTTGAACAAGCTATTTCTTAGACGCACCAACCGATACAACAGACTAAGAGATTGATTTTTATATTTTTTTTAAAACATAAATTTAGGGCTCAGTGCATCTGAACAGTTGACCAACGATACGGTTTTTTTTTCCTCTCCAAAAATCAGTAACCTCTCACTCTGTCAGCAGTAGCTTGAGTTTCATGGATCTCTTTCGAGGAGGGGGGGGGTGTTTTTGTTTGGGGCGCGACCTTAGAGTGATTTCTGTCCGATATCATAGCGTTCTGCTTTTGTTTGCGATATAATTTGTCCTTCCAGAAATGATGAGAAAGTTGTACATGTATTCGTAAATCCATTCCAC